AGGATTAGTTACTGCTAAATTTGAATCTGATTTTGATTTGTTTCTGGTCGGAGAACGGTTGCCCCCTTTAACCCTCGAATTTCATTGTTTACTTTGATTAAAGTGAATGAATATTTTTTGTCATCGTTAATTTGAAATCGACAGCTTTTTGATTAACACGCGTTAATTTCGAAAATGAAATTTAAAATGATACCCAATAATTTAACGAAAAAGAAAATCTTGGTGGACGAAATTTGAAGTGTAAACGATTGCAAATTTAACGGAGCTAAAAGACCGAGACCTCGTGTGATACAGGTTTTGTATACGGCTAAGTATTTCCCGAAAGTTGGAAATCGATTTAGTAAAGGTGTTATTTATATATATAATACTATTCTGATAGAGTACAATAACTGATTTATTTAAGCGATGTTTCGACAAGGATTCTCTTGTTGCTTGATAAAGACTAGTGAATCGTGGTCGAGTATGGTGATACAGAGGTACAGAGTCAGGGAGAAGTATCCACGATCTTCCACATCGGATCCAGGCCCCGTGTATTGGATTCTTCAATTTTCACATATATAGATAAACCCACGACGGACATCGGACGCCGTCCATGGAAAACTTGACCATCCTAAACAGATACAGAAAAGTTAGACGAAAAAACAGTGGACCGAACGTTGGACGCCGTATACGGAAAATTTAATTCGCTGACCTGAAATTTGGACAAGATAAGGAAAGAAAATTTCAATTCATTCGAATGCTTGGAGATCAGCATTGAAACCGATTTAAAATTCAGAGAAAATAATACAAAAAAAACCTGAAGTTCAAACTGTTGAATTTATTCCAACCTCAATAGTCACGTTCCATTGAGAAAAGACACAATTCAACCGACACAATAAAATGAATTAAATTACTAGCGACTGCTAAATTACATTACTGTTTGACTATAGTAATAGGTCGTTCTTTCATTCTTACAAAACTGGTTGTGCGTTGCTTAGTCCTGTTTACTGACCTCGTCGCAGCCCTTTCGTCAGGGCAGGAGATGCGGGGCTATGGCCAGTTTTGAGAAGGTCAAAACTTGGATCTAATTAGCTATGATTACAGGGAATTGGGAATCGACAGAAAAATAAATGAATAAATAAATAATGGTTAATAAAAATAAAATGAATCGTTTTATACTTTCGCATATTTGCAATATCTGAATTAACTGGATTCTGGACCAAAATTGGTTTTATTTTGAAATATCGGATTTTGGCCCTGGCATTGTCTGTTAAAATGATTTTGTTTTTACAATCTTTTGGCCTATTTCTCGTGATTATACTAATTTTACTGGATTAGCCTCTAAATTTATAAAAAAAGGGTGGACATTTTAGAATTATTGAACAGAAATTGAAAAGACTTTGACAACATGGAACTTTTACATCAATTCATCTTTAGCAGTGGGGAGTCGAGAGCTTCAAAATGGCTCCAATAGCGTAATCCTTGTTATAAAACGAACAAAAGCGTCTTAATTTCTGTGTCGGATTAATAAATCAACGGTGTCCAGGCTCAAGCGGATGAATTTCATGTGTACTCCTATTATGCGCACCACGTCATCACTAATTGCGTACCAAAGATTAAGACAAATATGGCAGTATGAATGTAGGAATTAATCCTTATTTGGCATCAATAATAATTATTTTCTGACTTCCATGTAATCTGCTTTTGTCCCTGATAATAATTAGTTATTTGTCTGTTGTTAGTCTTTTAATGAGCTGACTCTAGTCAGAAGACAACGACGCTCTATTATTAGAACTTTTGCTTATTCAACTTATTCCACCGGTAGGCGAGGCCTATTTAATTGCCAATTACCAAACCGCACAACCGGAAGATAACGATTGCTTTAATAAGTTGCGCGAAACTTGGTAATGCCAATATATCATGGATTTTCAAACTAAGGGCCAAAGAAATTTTTTTTGAATAGGCTAATAGGAAAATCTACATCATGGGGCAAGGTTGGGTTCTTGGAGCCATGGCCAACACCACCTCCTTCACACCTCACCCCCATAGAAACATTGCTGATTCTTTGTACAATCAGTAAAAAACGGAAAACGGCATGAAATTGAAACATGTCGTTTGGTAAAATGTCTTTTCTTTTTCACTGGATTGGTCACGTGTCTCGTCTTAACGTCACGTGACAACAATAATGCATCAATTGATTCCAATTCGTCGTCTAATTGAAATTTGTTCAAATAGGAACAGAACGGTCTTACAAAAATCAAAAGCCTAACCATTAGGAGAACCTTAAGTCCCTACTCGACGAAAAAAATGTAAACAATCGTAGTCCTTTTCGTATCAAACAAAGAGAGCTAACGACGAACACTTAGCATAGATAAACAAATGATTTTTTTGTTAATAATATAAGACTATTTATCATGTAAACTATGGTATTTTATTGCGAAAATACAATGGCAGATTGATGACACGTGTCGCATCATTCTAACCACAGAAAAACTGCCATTGTGCCAAGTACATTTCTCTGTAGCTTTAAGCTTCCATGTTAGATATTTGAAGTCTGGAGGCCAGACTTATGACTGGACTACTTTCAAAATACTTACTTACCGCTAGTTGGCTATTTGAGTTATTTCAATATGTACCCGTAGCAGTATATTTTAGCACACTCTGCCGCTGTCGCATTCTTAATGGCGTCTAAGGGCGTATAAATGAAAGAGTTTGGGTGGATTTAAAATTCATTCGTTCTGTCAAAAGTAAGTCATTTTCCTCAACTGCTTCCATTACGTTAAGGCTTTGACGTCTGTTAATCGGACTGCGATCTTGAAATAAGTATCTGTAATCTTTACAAAGTGACGACTTGATTCTGAATTACCAAAGTCAAGTAGAAAGCATATTGAACACGTTCACGCAAACACTGAACCATACAAATTACGACAATTACCAGAAATGGGTCTCACGGGTGTCGTGGATGTAGAGTAAGTAGCGAGTTGATTTCCATGGTAATACGATTGTGAGAAAGTGAAGTCAAGTAAATTTACTCTTTTCTTTAATTCTGCCAATTCCTCAAATTACAACAAAATGTTCTTTATTACCCTGTAACTCGGGACAACCGACTTATTTTATTTTCTCATCATCGTTCGTCTGCTTGCCGCCATATTGAATTTTCAGCGCGCAGACGATTCCGTTAATCCAATTTGAATGGCTGCCACCTGCTTCGGAGATTTGAATAAAGTAGATCAACTTTGGGAATTTAGTTTGTCTAACGAATTTACGGATCTCGGAACATAATTTTCTTGGTTATTGGTAAATTAGGACAAGTTTAAATTGGACACTTCTGCTAATTCGACACGTTGTAAAATGTAATAAATTTCAGAAATGTGACCCAAGTGCCACGTTCCAATACCGATAAAATAAATTAACGACGGTAAATAAAAATGAAATAAAGGACAATTCGAAGGAACAAAAAGACAATGATACGACAATGATTTCGATCACTCCGAGGGAATGATTTAACCCTCGATTAGTTCTGTGGTTATGTGGATAAACTTAGTAATAGAATCGCCATCAGAGTCCTTTACGGCCCAAATGAAAATAAGCTCGAAATAGTTGAAATAAGCCATAATGTTTACAGTCTTTCCGTCGAGGGCTCTGATTGGCTGTATTCGCTGGCATACAATCTGATCAATCCGTGACATTGTTAAGATGAAGTTTGTAATAGGTTGACATTATTAAGATGAAGTTTGTAATAGGTTGACATTGTTAAGTTTGTAATAGGTTGACTTTGTTAAGATGAAGTTTGTAATAGCTTGACATTGTGAAGATGAAGTTTGTAATAGCTTGACATTGTTAAGTTTGTAATAGCTTGACATTGTTAAGATGAAGTTTGTAATAGCTTGACATTGTTAAGTTTGTAATAGGTTGACTTTGTTAAGATGAAGTTTGTAATAGCTTGACATTGTGAAGATGAAGTTTGTAATAGCTTGACATTGTGAAGATGAAGTTTGTAATAGCTTGACTTTGTTAAGATGAAGTTTGTAATAGCTTGACATTGTGAAGATGAAGTTTGTAATATCTTGACATTGTGAAGATGTAGTTTGTAATAGCTTGACATTGTGAAGATGAAGTTTGTAATAGCTTGACATTGTGAAGATGAAGTTTGTAATAGCTTGACATTGTGAAGAGGAAGTTTGTAATAGGTTGACATTGTTAAGATGAAGTTTGTAATATCTTGACATTGTGAAGATGAAGTTTGTAATAGCTTGACATTGTTAAGATGAAGTTTGTAATAGCATGACAATGTAAAGATGAAGTTTGTAATAGCTTGACATTGTGAAGATGGGCCTAGATACGTGCATCTAGCTACAATTGAAATTCTGGAGTTCCCTAGAGTTCCAGAGCTTGAAACGGAGACAAAACAAAGTGCGAAGTCAGTCACCAACCTCATTAATTAAATGATTGGCAAATCAAATCAAGGGGAGAAACAGTGGCAACATATCGATTCTTGGTTTAACCAAATCTTTAAAAACTGTCTCCGTTAAATTCTTTTACAAATGGTCGACAAGAATTTAACTAAATTACCTCACAAATAGTCGAAAACTATTGTACTTGGAATTGTTTGACACTGGCGCCATCAACGACTCTTTGTGCTGTTCTGTCTCTACAGGTCTACATTTCTGATTGTCTATTTGTATATGTTTGATAAGGTATCTCACGCCCCGCAAAGGTTTAACTTAAAAACGCCCGTTGCAGAACTGATATATACATTTCAAAGTGATTGTTAAAAGGCTCTATAAACCGCTTGGGCTCTGTATAAGGGGTTCACTGAAAGCATTTCTATTATTACAAAAACCACAGCCATCTGAGTGAGAATTCATAATGTCAATATGAGCCCCAATACACATTTTTCCCATTTTTTAAACAAATCACTCGGAAGCTTAAGATGATTTTACATCGATATATTTCTCTTTTCAGAATTCAAGCAAATCTCAAAAGACTCCCAAATGAAGATGCATACAGAAGTTCAATCAATGACATTTACCTGTCTGGATAACGAGATTGAGAACGATCTACCAGACTCTCCAGATTCAAAAGATACAGATGATGACGTTAAAGGCGGTAAATCGCGTCGCGGTGGTGACCAAGAGAACTTAAGTCGCGAGGAACGTCGAAGACGTCGACGTGCAACACAAAAATACAGGACTGCGCATGCCACAAGAGAACGTGTTCGTGTGGAAGCTTTTAACGTGGCCTTTTCAGATTTACGAAAACTGTTGCCGACCTTACCGCCAGACAAGAAATTATCTAAGATAGAAATCCTTCGCCTTGCTATCTGCTATATTTCGTACCTAAACCATGTTTTAGAACTCAACTAAAGTGCCTGTTGTTTGTGATTGTGTGTTGAATGGGACTAAAAGTAGCCTAATTCGAATGTGACCACTTTTTTAGGCTACAGAACGATTGTGACCCAATGTTTGAGCCAAGTGGTTGTGACTCAAGTGTAACGACTACGGATTTGTTGTGACGCAATAGTTACTGCAATAATAAGTTGCGACACAATGGTTACTGCAACAAAAAGTTGTGACGCAAAGGTTACTGCAACAATAAGTTGTAACTCAATGGTTACTGCAACAATAAGTTGTGATTCAATGGTTACTGCACAATAAGTTGTGACGCTATGTTACGGCTACGAATCTGTTGTGACTCAAGTGTTAAGACATATGGTTTTGACTCTTAAGGTATGGCTGTGACGCAAATGTTATGGCCATGGAACCGTTGTGTCTCAAATAATACGGCTACAGATTGGTTGTGATTCGGATGTTATTTAGAAAAGGTTAAGCAAGGGAAATTGCCGTGACCTAGGCTTTGGATAGCTTTACCAAGGAATATATCTAGAAAATGGAAGGCTAATATACTCTAGTAGGACTCGGGCAAGTCTCGGAATTCTAGTTCATAATACTATTTATTAATACGGGCCAGTGATGAATTCCAAAGACATTGCTGTGAGTGTATACTATGTTAATCTATTCAAATTCTGAGGTCACTGAAAACTATTGTTAGATTTTTCTCAAAAAACAAAAATTTTTGATGTATGAGGAATTATAGTCATCATACACTGTGATACAGTTTATCAAAGTTACGACTGAAATGCGAATATGTTATTTTGTGAGGATATGCTTTGAATTACAAAAGTCGATCAGAACAGTCGAACTACAGCTTTACACATTTGGTTTCTTATATTTCCCTCATTCGTTCATTCAGAATAATGCATGAAGTAACCCATAGAAAATATACGAAACGAAATATCGAGAGCTGTTTTTAATCAGAATGACAAAAAAGGTTGGATATTCACATACATTTATTTCTGACATGAACACCAAGTCTTTGTTAACCACTTGTGAATGTCCGACTTCATCAATTTGAAGCCGGAGAAGGAATTTGGGTTTAATTCCCTGAATTAGGAACATTGAAGCAAAAGTCATTATAAATTCCATTGTGATTGGGTTGAATTAGTCGCGGATTCCGCATCATGAAGTAGTGCAGATCAAATTCCTCAATACATTGAATGGGATTCGCCATTTTGAATGAAATTCGTAGCCAGATGGGCGATCAACTTCTAATTGCTTTGACTAATGTAATATTTCTTAAAGTCGTTTCTGTAGTTGAGACCAAACAAGGCATTCGTCGTCTGCTATTGAAACATTCTCCCGCCAATTTAACAAATGGAAAAACCTTCCCCAAGAAGATAATTTGAAATTTCCATTAGAAACTCGAATGTGATATAAAATATTAGAAAAGATTTTATTAATGGCGTTTAATTGACGTCTGCGATGAAGAAAAGTCAAATCTCGTCAATGCGAGAACAATAGACGAGAACAATGGCGACCTCCTGTCACCATATGTTACGATGTTCTCAAGATGATGTATTGTGTATATTTTTGTATTTGATCACTCATGTACAATGATGCTATTTATTTATTTAAAACACATATTTATATATTGTACATAATAAATTAATTTATTCAAATCAAGAAGTCTTATGTTTCTGTATAATGCTAAAATGAAAGTGTAGGCCTACCTTATACACTGTCCTGCGTCTTTTAAAAAAACCCAAATCCTTAGCCTACAGTAGAGTAACAACCTAGATAAACCTATATCCTACACTATAGCAAGCTAGAGTAACAATCTAGATAAACCTATATCCTACTCTATAGCAAGCTAGAGTAACAATCTAGATAAACCTATATCCTACTCTATAGCAAGCTAGAGTAACAATCTAGATAAACCTTTATTCTACTCTATAGCAAGCTAGAGTAACAATCTAGATAAACCTATATCCTACTCTATAACAAGCTAGAGTAACAACCTAGATAAACCTATATCCTACTCTATAGCAAGCTAGAGTAACAATCTAGATAAACCTATATCCTACTCTATAGCAAACTAGAGTAACAATCTAGATAAACCTATATCCCACTCTATAACAAGCTAGAGTAACAATCTAGATAAACCTATATCCTACTCTATAGCAAGCTAGAGTAACAATCTAGATAAACCTATACCCTACTCTATAGCAAGCTAAAGTAACAATCTAGATAAACATATATCCTACTCTATAGCAATCTAGATAAACCTATATCCTACTCTATAGCAAGCTACAGTAACAATCTAGATAAACCTATACCCTACTCTATAGCAAGCTAAAGTAATAATCTAGATAAACCTATATCCTACTCTATAGCAAGCTAGAGTAACAATCAAGATAAACCTATATCCTACTAAATAACAAGCTAGAGTAACAATCTAGATAAACCTTTATTCTACTCTATAGCAAGCTAGAGTAACAATCTAGATAGACCTATACCCTACTCTATAACAAGCTAGAGTAACAATCTAAATAAACCTATATCCTACTCTATAGCAAGCTAGAGTAACAATCTAGATAAACCTATATCCTACTAAATAACAAGCTAGAGTAACAACCTAGATAAACCTATATCCTACTCTATAACAAGCTAGAGTAACAATCTAGATAAACCTATATTCTACTCTATAACAAGCTAGAGTAACAATCTACATAAACCTATATCCTACTCTATAACAAGCAAGAGTAACAATCTAGATAAACCTATATCCTACTCTATAGCAAGCTAAAGTAACAATCTAGATAAACCTATATCCTACTCTATAGCAAGCTAGAGTAACAATCTAGATAAACCTTTATTCTACTCTATAGCAAGCTGGAGTAACAATCTAGATAAACCTATATCCCACTCTATAACAAGCTAGAGTAACAATCTAGATAAACCTATATCCTACTCTATAGCAAACTAGACTAACAATCTAGATAAACCTATACCCTACTCTATAGCAAGCTAAAGTAACAAACTAGATAAACCTATATCCTACTCTATAGCAAGCTAAAGTAACAATCTAGATAAACCTATATCCTACTCTATAACAAGCTACAATAACAATCTAGATAAACCTATACCCTACTCTATAGCAAGCTACAGTAACAATCTAGATAAACCTATACCCTACTCTATAGCAAGCTAAAGTAACAATCTAGATAAACCTATATCCTACTCTATAGCAATCTAGTAAACCTATAACCTACTCTATAGCAAGCTATAGTAACAATCTAGATAAACCTATACCCTACTCTATAGCAAGCTACAGTAACAATCTAGATAAACCTATATCATACTCTATAGCAAGCTAAAGTAACAATCTAGATAAACCTATATCATACTCTATAGCAAGCTAAAGTAACAATCTAGATAAACCTATATCTTACTCTATTGCAAGCTAGAGTAACAATCTAGATAAACCTATACCCTACTCTGTAGCAAGCTAGAGTAATAATCTACATAAACCTATATCCTACTCTATGGCAAGCTAGAATAACAATCTAGATAAACCTATACCCTACTCTATAGCAAGCTAAAGTAACAATCTAGATAAACCTATATCCTACTCTATAACAAGCTAGAGTAACAATCTAGATAAACCTATACCCTACTCTAGGGCAAGCTAAAGTAACAATCTAGTTAAACCTACACCCTACTCTATAGCAAGCTATAGTAATAATCCAGATAAACCTATATCCTACTCTATAGCAAGCTAAAGTAACAATCTAGATAAACCTATACCCTACTCTATAACAAGCTAGAGTAACAATCTAGATAAACCTATATCCTACTCTATAACAAGCTAGAGTAACAATCTAGATAAACCTATATCCTACTCTATAGCAAGCTACAGTAACAATCTAGATAAACCCATATCCTATACTAGAGCTAGAGTAACAATCTAGAAGAGTAGTCGCCTGCCACCTTATAGGCACCAGAGTGGGTACAGAGCCCACTACCCCCTTTTAAGAAAACGGTTTGCGCTCCACTAAATTTTTGATAGATTTAAGAAATGTGATTTTTGTACATTTTTGCCCCAAAATATGTGTCGTGAGAACCCTCCCAGACGCTGCATAAAAGGCATGCGATTATTACGCCTCCACGAAGTTGCAGAACTGTTAATTCAGCCTCGACAGTTGTCTCCCATTGAGTCAGTCTTCCCAGACGATGGAACATCGAGTTGGTGAGAAGCAAAAGAATGGAAGAGGGATGTAAATAAAGGTAGATAACTTGTATATAATGTGAAAATTCCGACCACAGCTAAAATATAATTATAGCATCAATTTGTATCATCTCAATTTTCAACCAGACGTCTGTGGGCCATGCAGTTCAATCCAATTATATGTAAAAATAATCTTCAGAAGTAATAGAATTGTTTTCCTTTAAAATTACTTAACTCACTATTTCTATGTATTCTCTATATAGGCTATTACAGAGTATTTTAGATTGACGAGTCGTCATTTTAACATTCAAATGTGGTTATTCTGGACACATAGATTTGAAGGCTCAAATTTCGACGGTGAGCTGTGAACATCATTACTGATTGGCCTTTTTAAAAAAAATTCCGATCTCTGAGACTAAACCGGTTTTTAGCCAAAAAAAATTGCACAACTGTGCCTTTAAAATTGACGTGTAAATTGGAATGATGCAAATAGAAGCCATAAATGTTCCTGCCACAAGAAAAAGCTGGAAAACCTCTTTCCGGTCTCTTTTAAGATTTTATCAAAATAAAATGTATTATATATGCAATATGAATTCAAGATCTACTTTTGTTATCATTTGTTATTTTGATAAGAAACTATAATCAACGCTGAAATTATATTCGCGATAACAACCCTATCAAATTTTACTTTTACGAACTTTGACCATATCAACCTTCCCGAATTAGAGATTACTTTTCTGTCACAAGAGCTATTATCCGGGATAAAAACATTACTGTAGATGTAGCTCTATTGTGAAATTCTTGTCTAAGACTACAGTCAATTGTCAGCTAGACGCCTGACAGTGGAATAGTTGATAATAAGGAATCACCTGACAATAATCACCTGAAACTGCAGTGTAATTAGCAGGAACTATGGGGTCCGACAGCAGTGTTTTAGCGGACATTTTCAGGATTATTTTAATCCTTATTAACATATGTTTTGTCGTAAGTTAGTTTTAAATTAGAAAAGGCGGGGTATATTGTAATATGGATTGTATATTTTGACTTCATAATATGTTTGGGGTCTCGCTCTAGGGTTCGATCTCAAGAGAGGTCTAAATTCCTTGAGCCCCACCCTTTCAGACTCTTCGTACCGTCTTGTGACGTTTTGACCCACCATACACAATGAAAGGAATATTTTAACGTTCCTCCGTTTATTTTTTGCTCGGCAAGGTAGCTTTTCTGGTTTTCCTTTGAATGCTCAAGGGTGTTGTATCCGAGGCGTTTAGCATCCCAGGTTGGAAACCGAGGGTATAAGCAACACCCTGCTATTTTTCAATCCTATGGTCATTCTGTCAGTGATACTTGTCGGGGGACTGGCATGAAAGAAGGGCCTTCTTGTCGTTTGGTATAAGTGGGTGAGACCCAACACCTGACAGACTCTGGAAACCACTTGTACAGGCATCAGAAATTCTCTTACCTTGAGGAGGATTCGAATCCACGACAATCCAACTCACTACCGACTGAGACAACACACCCAGACCCCGTATAACTACAGACTGTGTCCAATAAACATGGGTCGATCCTCAAATCTGCACTCTTCGTGCTAAATGATCGAATAAATGATGGTGCTATATTTCATTTGAAAAAAAAAACTCACAAAGTCAATGCAAAACACACTGCATGGCGTGCCCATTTTCATTAGCCAATCAAGAAAGGTAAAACTCCATTCATTTAATTTCAGTTGATCGGATTGGCCTTAATGGCATGTGGTATAGTAGTCAAATTCTTCCTAGGTGTCATTCTTAAATCTTCTTTGCTAACTGGAGCACTTGAAGATGTTTATCAGGGTATCAATAAAGGGCAAGAAGTTCCTAAAAATTTGGATTTTGGAGCGTTCACAAACGAAGCTGGTTTAGCATTGATTATAATCGGTGTCATCATTTTTGGTATTTCTATTTTCGCCTGTTGTGGAGCTTGTTATAAATGGAGACCATTTTTAGTTGTGGTAAGTATCAGCAAATATAATCTTGCCTTTTAAAAAGGGACACAGTTGACTCAATGTTTGCTTTACCAACTGACAGAGCCCAATTTTAGTTATCTATATTATTCTCGGAATCCAAATTTGTCACCCGCTTCTCCCAGTTATTTCCCCAGTCAGTGATGCAAATTGGGATGGGAGGGGCGGGAGGCGTGAGTTTTGCTAACCTGGACAATTTCTAGTTGTTCGGTAAGAACAATAAACCATAGCCCTGCGTGCTACGGGCAATAAACGTCAAAGATCCCTCGGCAGATGGAATTTGGAAAAGAGTAGGCCTTTCATTGCACACTACATGGATTGACCCATCTGCACTAACATAAACAGTTGCAGAAGAGTAGGACGTAAAACTCCATTCATTTCATTACCTAGTTATTTACATTGACGTCTTGCTTATGCTCAGTTCACACCAACGGCGCTTTGATGGTGCTTTAAAGCGGCGTACAAAGCGGTAACAAAGTTCGACTAAAGCGCCAGGGTCGTTATAGATCGTTGGAAAGCTTTGAGCAAAGCTGGATATTCGGCAAGAGCGCCAAAAAATTTTAAACCGTAACAAGGCCTGATCAAATTGGGAAATAATTCGTCCCAAAAGCGTAACCAATTCGTATCAGAGCTTATCAGAACGTAACATTACTTAGGAGATCGTGATATTTTTGGAAAAGTAAACAAAAAATGATGGCGCTTTGCTCGCCGATTTAAAGCGCGGCATTCGCCGTTGGTGTGAACTAGGCATAACTATTAACAGTTTTTGTGTGAAGTAGTCTGTCGATATCAAAGACTAATTCAGAATTATTGTTTATTATAGTTCAGTATCTTAGTAATAATATTGGTCATAGGAGAAGCTGCTGCTACTGGTTTACTGGCCTCGAAAACTTCTCCGGTAAGTGTTCAAAATTCTCTTGTTTCTTGTTTTCTGATATTTTTCGTCTACATAGTAATCTAACAAGTTTTCTACCACCATCACGTTATAATGACGTCATATTTAACCAATCAAATCGTGTCATGTAAAACCCGTTTCTTGTTAGCGTAAGGATTCCGGGATAACAAAACCCAAAGAAGTTTTCATCTATTCGCCTTTGTGATTGGTTGTATTTTATTTCAGATCCATGAAAATGCCAGAAAGGAATTGAAGAATTTACTGAAGGTAGAATATAATTGTGCTGGTACAAATGCATTCTCTGCTACTCTCAATCTTCTCATGTTCGGGGTAAGTTTACCTGATTTTGACTGGATGATAGAGGCTATGGTAAGTTTAGTCTCTGACAACCAGACTTCACCTGATTATGAATGATGGCTATGATAAGTTTAGTCTCCGACACCCAGACTTCACCTGACTTTGACTGAATAATAGAGGTTATGATAAATTTAGTCTCTGACACCCAGACTTCACTTGACTTTGACTGGATTATAGAGGCTAAGGTAAGTTTAGTCTCCGACACCCAGAATTCACCTGTTTCTGACTGAATGATAGTGGCTAAGGTAAGTGTAGTCTCCGACACCCAGGATTCACCTGTCTTTGGATGATAGAGGCTGGCGTAAGTCTTGTTGAAGACAAAATGAAAATATATGGAACTTCTGTTATTTATATTTATATCTTAACTTTCCCTGCGCTGTGAAGCACACCACACCCCCTTTTGTCAATTCTCTGGCTCCTACTCGACACCCCCCCCCCCCCCCCC